TCTTTTTGATATTCTTAATTGTTCTTAATATTCACTATTTTTAGGGGCACCTGGGTGGCTCAGTTGGTTAAGCGTCCAGCTCTGTTTTAGCTCAGGTCATAATCTCATGGGTAGCAGGATTGGGCCTGTCTCAGGCTTGTGCGCAGCTCAGTGTCTGCTTGAAGATTCTCTCCCTCTGCCCCTCGCCACTCTCTCTCTCTCTCAAATAAATAAATAAATCTTTAAAAAATATTCATTATTTTTATGCAATTTTTTTTATCTCCCTTACTCATTTTTTTTATTTTTAAAGATTTTATTTATTTATTTGTCAGAGAGAGAGAGCACAAGCAGGGGGAGTGGCCGGCAGAGGGAGAAGCAGGTTCCCCGCTGAGCAAGGAGCCTGATGTGGGACCCTGGGATCATGACCTAAGTCGAGGGCAGATGCTTAGCCGACTGAGCCACTCAGGCATCCTTCCTGTACTTGTTTCTTCATGGCTCTTTTCATCTGCATCTTTCTACTTTCTTTAATCCTGGAAAAATAGTTTTTAGAGTTTAAAAAATAGTTTTTTCTCCTTTTGCAACTCCTATTATCTAGATATTGGCACTTCTACCTTAATCTTTTTTTTTTTTAAGATTTTATTTTTTTAAGTAATCTCTACACCCAACATGGGGCTCAAACCTATAACCCTGAGATCAAGAGTCACATGCTCTACCAACTGAGCCAGCCAGGCACCCTGCTTCTACTTTTATCTTACACAGATGTTAACTTTTCTTTTTATATTTGCTTTCTTTTTATCCTTTCCTACTGCCTTTCAACTTTTTCATTAATCTGTTTCCTACATTTTTCTTTAGCTGTATGCAATCTACTATTTTGATAAGACCAATGATAGAGATAAACTATTTTTTATTTTAACTTATATATCTTACACCTCATATGTTCATTTTATTCTTTTTTGTGATTTTGCTTGATGCAGTTTCCTATTATTTTAATTTACCTTATAATCTTAACTTGATTGATAATGCATATTTAAAATTTTGGTGTGTTTTGTAACTCTTCTTCAGGTTATATTATGTTTCAATCATTCCATCCATTTTCTTCTAAGGGAGTTGTACAGTTGTACAGTTTTTAGTTACTTTGGTTTTTGATGTCCTATTGTCCTGTTGTTTTTGTCTGCTTTACCTGGTAATGTGTTTTGGGTAAGGGCCAAAGGCCTGACCCTTATCTGTGTCATTTTCTAGTAAAATGGAGGGGGTGGGTTTGATCTCTAGGACACAGAACTCCAGGGATCCCCAAATCAGTTAATTATTTCCACTTGCTGCCCCCTCCCCCAACCAACTCCTCCAGGCAAGGTCTTATTGGCCTTAAAGAAGGTGTAATTTTGGAAGAGGCTGTGTCCCTAGACTGTGATTCCTTAGGATTTTGAGGGAGAGAGATATAGAGAAATGAATGCCTGAGTCTCTCAGTAAAATTAATTTATTTTATTCATGCTTCACCTCAGCAGTGTTCTTTTGCTGATTTACCCAGAGATCTGGATTATTTCCTTAAATTTCTTCTGAAAGTAGACAGGCATTGATTGCCCCAAGGCAATGTGGGAGACAACAGAATAATTTGAAACTTCCTTTTTCTAACCTGTTCTTTCACTGTGTCTGCTAACTGTTCTCCACCCCAGACTGGAGCTACCTTCTTCCCTTGCAACATACATTCATCACTTTAAAACAGCCTTCAGGAGGACAGGTACTGCATGGAGCACTGGGTGTTACATAAACAATGAATCATGGAACACTACATCAAAAAGTAATGAGGTACTGTATGGTGACTAATATAATAAAAATTAAAAAATTACATACATACATACATAAAATAAAACAGCATTCAGCTCCCTCAGTTTTCAAAAATTCTTAGTTCTTAAAATGTTTTCCTTTTATAATTTAGATAAAGGAACCAGCAGCTAATGGTAGTTTGTCATTGTAGCAGGATTCAGCAAGTGTTGTATTTTAATTGCTGTTCATAATACAAAGAAAAATCTCTATTGTATTTATAGTTTTCCCTTTTTATTCTGTATTTTGCTTACTTGTATCTTCTTTTTGGCTTGATCAATCTTGCTAACAGTGTATCCCTTGTTTTTACAGATTTTGTTTGTTTGTTTGTTCGTTTTCGGGGGAAGGGACAGAGGGAAAGGGAGAGAAAGAATCTCAAGCAGACTCTGCACTGAGCAGAGCCTGATGTGGGACTCGATCTCATGACCCTGAGGTTATGACCTGAGCTGAAACCAAGTCAGATTCTCAACCGACTGAGCCACCCACATGCCCCATAACAGTTTATCTCTATCATTGGTCTTATCAAAGAACAAGCTCTGGTCTTGTTAATTTAATGAAATTTTGTTGTTGTTATATACTTCACTTATTCTTGTTTCTTTTGGTTTTGTTTTTTCTAATACTTCTTAAATTGAATGCTTAACTCATTTAATATTCTTATGACTAATGTATTTAAGTCACTTTATTTCCATTATTTCATCTTTAATTCAAGGGTAATTTAGTAATAGCTTATTTAGTTTCTAAATGTCTCAAAGCTATTCTTTATTATCTGAACTGCTAATTTAATCAATTTGCAGTTGGAAAACATAGTCTGTATAGTATTGATTCTTTGGAACTATTAGGGCTTCATTACCTAATACATGGCTTATTTTTATACATATTCTACATATGCTTAAAAATAATGGTGAACTAGGGTGTCTTACTGGCTCAATCAGAAGAGTATGTGACTCTTGATCTCAGGGTTATGGGTTTGAGCCCCATGTTTGGTGTAGAGATTACTTAAGTAATAAACTAATTAATTAAAAAAATAATGGTGAACTATCCAATGAATGGAGTTATTTACATATCTACTGGCTTGATCTGATTTATTGTTTGGAAATTTGATATCTATGCCAATTTTTTGTCTGCTTCAACTATTCATTTCTCAGAGATGTGTTTGTAAAGTCATTCTCTACATGTATTGACTTATGAATCTACTCATTTTTGTCAGTTGTTCCTTAAATTTGTCACTATCTTTTGCTATTGAGATACATATTTTAATATGCTCTAATTTCTTTTTGGTCTTACTCTCAGCCCTTTATCTAATCTTGGCTATGTTATTCTCTGTGCATCAGTTTCTTTATCTGTAGTAATTTTTACTAGTTGTTAAGAGTAAATGAGTTAATATTTGTAAAATATTTGAATAGTGCTTGGCACATAGTATATGAGCGTTTAGTTAGTATTTCAATGAGCAGAAGTGGTAATTAAAGCTATGGGCATGCCATAAATCATTTGAGGAGACATGACAGTTTGAGAAAATAAGAGGATCAATGATGAAGATTTAAGAAACTCTTTTATTTAATGGCTGAGAAGGGAGGGATACACCTCCAAAAAAGACAGGAGTAGACAAAAAAGTAGGAGGAAAACCAACAAAGCATATTCCCAAATGCATCAAGAGTGAAGGAATAATTAATAGTGCTGAATACAGATCTGAATGAATGTGAGGTAAACAGCATTAATTTCAACAGTTGAATGAGGGATTTAATGAGTACTGTGGATGCTGTGACGTATCTCCGGGACCTCCCTTGAGGAATAAAGGTCTTACTCCACCAGTTGCTGGGAGTGCTGCCAGCAGACACGTCTCAGCTATTAACCTCCTTGAGTAATTGCCTTGGCTAAAGAGATCCTCCTTGCCTAGGGTCATACACCTTTCCCTGGCAAAGCCTGCATTCCTACTGGGGAAAACTTTGAAAGTACATCGCATCTTAGAGGTCTATGTGGAATTGGCTAAGGCCTTTGTTGAGACTGGGCATCACAACTTAACTTCTCCCTCTTCCCAATTTTACTTCCTTTCCCTCCATTCCCCAAATACTGATCCCTAATAAACTTCCTTCACACCAAAATACATTGAAAAAGTCTGCTTTACAGGGAAATCAATCTGTGACAATGAGTTTCATTTATAGGAAGAGGTGATGGACATGAGAACTGAGAATGCGAAAGGTAAGAAATAAATGATAAAAACATGGAAGAAGCCAAGAAAGGTCAAATTATTCAAGTAATTTGCTTTCACAGATCAGAGGATGACCAAAACCAAGACAGTATAAAAGGCTCACCACCCTGCCCCTTCTTTAGTATGGGAGATATCTGACTGAAAGATAAATGCCAGTTACACATACAGAATTCTGTATTGCTGAAACTAACCTTTCTGTTAATGTAGCAGGACATTAAACTCTTTAATCAGGTACTGGCTCATTAAAGAGTCAGAGGAATGAGTAACCAGCATTTTAAAAAGACGAACATAAACTTATGAATTGGCCACCTTATGCCAGCCCTCTAAATTTGAACAGTCAGTATGAGCCAGCTTACATTTTTATTGCCTATATCTGATAAAACGATCTTCTAAACCACTCCTCCCACAACTTCCTTCTAGCTCCAGCTGAACTAAAATGTCTACTCTTTAAGCCAGAGACTTAACCCGTTTCTCAAATAAGAGATTCAACAACAGGAAATTAAGACTTCTGAAAAGAATTTCTCTGGAGATCCAAATGAAGATGAAAAAAAAAAAATCTATATGGAGAATGAAACTTTTGGAGAATTAACGAATTAACCATATGACCATAAATAATAATTTTGACCGAGGAATGAGATAAGCCTGGGATGGAGGAAAGGTTAAGACTACAAGCAAAGCTTCAAGAAAGGAAAAAAACGAGAAACCCCAGAAAGCAGCAAGAAATACAGCGCTGGCTACACGCAGGCGTTTTAAAGGTTCACACACCACCAGTGCACAACGAGTCCAAAAGAGCCCTCCGACATCTTTTAAAGCACTGGCGGGAAAGAAAAACTTACACTAGCGGCGAACACAGAAACAGAAAATTTACGAATGACCCCGGAAACATTTTATTTTGCGTAGGTATCTTGAGAATATTCTTTTGTGATTCGTTACTTGATCCGGAAGAAGAGATAGCAAACCTCACTTGCGATTGGGTCCTATCATAAGGGCGGTGCTTCAGCGAGCCAGTCACCTTGGCAACCGGACGTGACGATCCCGGAAGCGGCTGACTGAGCTTTGCCCGGCTGGCGGCTTCGGTGGGCGGGGTCGGCCGAGCCCTTCTGGCACCGTCTTCTCCACGGACCCGGCACTGCTAGGGGCGGTGCCAGTAAGGCCACGCCTTCCGTGTTGACTCCGGATGGCTCTGGAGCGATGTCGTAGGCCCGCGGGGGCGGAGACTCGGGCCGCTCCTCTCTGAGGCTAGGGCCGGAGCGGCGTCGTTAGGCGCTTTGATTCTTCCGGTTTCTGGTGGCTGCGTCGCCTCTTTCCAAAGGCTGGGGATACGCCCTCTCTAGACCCTGCTGTCGCCCTCCTTTCAGCATCGAACCTGAGTTGCTCCGGGACACCTCCAGCCCAACATTCTCTCGCTCAGGTTCTCGCCCTTTGGAGGACCTCGGCCCCCCATTGCCCACTTTCCTGGATGTGCTGGCCCCTCCCACCCCTCTAAAATGTCCAATAATCTACAGAGGGTCTTCCTGAAACCCGCAGAGGAAAAGTCAGGCAACGCCTCGCAGTGGTAAGTACCGGTTTCGAATCTCCCTCGACACACCTGCCCCTCGCCCGCCTCTTAGCAGGGTGCCGAGTCGGCCGTCGTTTCCGGACGCTCCCCCGCAGTGGGAGCGACTGCAGGGCTCGTCACTTGGGCCACTCAGAGCCCTCAGAGCGCGCCTCTCTTGGAAACGTAAACCCTCTTCAGAGCCTGACGCAGGCAGCCTCGGCCCTGGCTCCGCAGGACTCCAGCGTCTCAAGTTTCGTAGGCGACAGAGTAGATCTCCACGGGAGAGGAAAATCAACATGGCCGACGCTCCTGTGTGACTAAAACCTTCTGGAAGATTCTCGCGCACTCGCAGAAAAACACGCAGAGCCCAGCACGGAATAGCAAGTGCAGCCCAGGTGGCGCTGGACCTTCAGTGAAAAAAGCTATCATTTAAGAGAGTTAGTGGAAAGGAAAAGAAAAATTTGTGTAGTTGATGAGTATATGAATTTAGAAACTGAAAATTTGATAGAGTGAGGGAATGGATTTTTTAAAATTTCAAATAATAGTTTTATATACAAAGAAAGAAAAGAGTAATTCTCATGTGAAATCGATCCTTTGGAACAGCGTGTTTGAAGCAGGTGTAATGAGAATGCCGTCTCTAACTGGATGTCTCTGTAGAGGAACTGTGACATAGGGAGATCGTGGTGTTTCTTAAAAAGACTTAGTTGCACATTTACAAAATAGTTTATCACTAAGTCAGTTTTTTTTTTCTTAAAGGTTATGTTAGTCAAGATGAAATAAAATGGGAACAAAACTGTTAAAGAAGATCGAATATTTTAAGTTGTAGACTCCATGGTTAGTGGATGTATAATAAGTGGTGAGAAAAAACTTAATGGGTCTCTGCGGAAGGAAAATGTGAAGAAAGCATGGAAATTGAGTTGTAAAATTCATGGAAGAAGATTTATGTTTGAAGAACATCAGGCTGCCTAAATTTAATTCTAGCTTTGACATTTACTGTTCGTGAGGCCAAGTGCCTTCTCTCCAGTCTCCTTTCCAGTAAGTAAGAGTGCCTAGAGATATTTTAAGGACTAAAAGAATGAGTATATGTAAAATACTTAGTATAGGAAAAAAAAGCAGTACTTATATGTTAGCTATTATTATTATGAGAATAAGAGTTTATTTCTGTACAAATTTTAGCCCAGGAAGTAGGTTTCTTTTAATTACAAGTAGATGCAAAGCGGAATTATAATAACGACTGAAAAAGCGCGCACAATATTTTAGGAAGAAATGATCACTAAATGCGGTGAGCCAAAACAATATTGAAGAACTGCGAAGAAAGAACCATTGCGTTTCAAATCGTAAAAAGAGCCAGCTTGTGTGTACGTATAACGTTTGTTGGTTTACTTTTGGTGAAAGCTGGGTGGGGAGAGGCAGAGATGGTGCTCTGTATAGATAACGAAAAAGTAGAATTACTTTCTAATGGTTGTTCATTTCTTTTCTCTTGTTTTGGTATCTGGATATTCGATGCCATCTGACTTACCCTAACTTAACACAGTTTGTTTTAGGATTGCATTGTTTTTCAACATTAGAAATAAGGTAGAATAAGAACTTAACGTTTTTATTTATTGTGTACTTTAATTCTTTTATCCAGTTTCTAAGCCTTTGGCTATCTGTATTTGGCATTTTTAAAAATATTACAAATTGAAATATATTTTGGTTACATTCATACGTCATTGGAAGTTCATTAACTCATTGGTTTATGCATTGTTTTCATCATCTTCAAATGCATTTATTTCTTCAAATCACTGAGGTTTGACATCACATATTTGGAACATTTACCAGATGCTTTTCTGAAGCTATTGGACTCTTATTTTGCTTATTGCTTACATATTTGATTATACTCTGTTTTGTAAGTAACAATCTGCATGACGTACAAGTATAACTTAAAAATCATTTGATTAATGTCAGCTCTTTAATTTATTGGAAGCTTGGTTTCCTTATTTTTCTGATAATTTTGATGGTACTAAATCATTTCATAAACTTAAAATGAGTATATGATTTTATTTTCTATAGATGCTTGGATTATTCTTGAGTTACTGCTGCTTTCTTTTTACAAAGTTTTTCGTTATTGCTTTACAGAATGTTTATTGTTTAATGTATCTCTAATTCATCAAGGCATAAATTTTAAGAATAAAACTTAATCTTAGAGTGCAAAGGAAAAATCTGGAAGATATTTGTGATAGTAGGCATTCAGTTTTAGATTGGGGCTTTTTTTGCAAAGAGCAAAGCCGGAGTTAGAATGGTATAGTAGAAAGACGGTAAGCTTTGGAGTTAAAGCAATCTAGATTCCTATCCTAGTTTACTAGTATTATCTGTATAGTTCAAACATTTGGTTAAAAAACATTCACTGAGTGCCTACATGATAGACTGCTAAATGAAGACACTGACTAAAGAAGAGGATATGAACCATGCCCATGAAAAACCTTATAGTCTAGGGGGAGGTGATGTAATACAATTTTAAATAGTGTTATGCACAGGATGCTGTGAGAGCACAGAGAAAGGAAATTGTAGGAAAGGTTTCTGGAGCATCTGAGTTTTGGAATGTAAGTGTCCGCTATCCAATTAAAGATGAATGCAGGCTGTGCCCAAAAAGGGAACTGGTAAATAAAGCACTGGTATGACTTATTACCAGGAGTCAGTATTTTTGTTTGATTCTGTACTACAAGCAGGATAGATAGATAACTCTTAAGGGTTTGGTTTGCTCTGCTAGAGAGATTAGACTTCATCTAGTGAAGGTCATTCAGAGGATTTTAAGAAAAGGTTGTCATGTTCCTGTGTGCATTTTAGATAACTGATGGCAGTGCGGATTTGGGGGTGAGGGATCAGGCATATAAAGATTCTGTAAGTTGTCCTTTCAGAGATTTTGAGGGCCTGAACTAGCTGATGTAGAGTAAGGGTTGGATTCAAAGAAACACAGAAGGGAAAATAGGCAGATTTTGTCAGTGAATTGGCATGAAGAAAAGGGGATCAATTATAATGCCAGTTATCTGGATAGATATTGGTAAATTGAAATGAGGAGAACACACCAAAAAAACCCCAAAAAACAATCAGAGAGGTATTTGAATTTGACACTCAGGCAGGGTCAGAGCTGAAATTACATACTTAAGTCATCAGTTTAGAGTTATTATAATAAAAGCCTGTGATGATACGTCTCACAATAATGAGAATTAGGATGTGACTGGCAACTGGCTTCTGTCTGCACTTAATCCTTTGTTCTTAAATGGGGAGCTAAAATGAGTGTCCTCAGCAGTGGGCTTGGTTTGGTTAGAAATGTGATGTTTCATTATCAGTTTATTGTGCATTTAGTTTTGTACAGTGTGTTATATTATCTTTACTGTTTGGGTGTGTAAGAGACATTGACACGTATACCTTATAGGCTAACTGAAATCTCTTTCTCATTAATCACTTCATGCAGTTGAATTTTTTGGACCCTGTTATGTTTGGTTTATGCTAAAGTAAATTCAAGAAAGAGGACTGGATTGTCGAAGAGAGCGTGTAATTCTGAATAAGTTATTTAATACTACTGAATCTCCAGCTATAAAATCATAATGGGAATACCTACATTGCTGAGCTGTTTATCAGAATTAGAGTTAATGACAACTATTTACAATAATGTATCTATTATGTATATAATATTACATAGTATATAATATTGTATGTTATTACATTATGTATATTGTGTATGTACATAATGTTAAATCATAGATGGAAAAAAGGTCTAGCAGTTGAAAAAATATATTTTGCAACAATATCTGCAAAATGTTCATTAGCATGTGAAATTTTTATCATTCCATTTCTTATATGTGAATGTTTTATGTCAATATTAGAATAATTAAAAATGTCAGAAGTTATGTAAGTATCTTTAATATACTTTTTATGAAAATTTTCATACCTTTTTATCCAAGTTCTTATATTGTCAAAAAACTACCGGATTCACTTACTTGTTCTTGGACACCAATTGTGTATTTTAATGGAATATGATAACTAGCATATATTGGGAATTTATCATAATTCCAACCAGTTATTTCATTTATTTCTCATAGCAAGCCTTACTGTCCCCATTTTGCAAATGAAGAAACAGATTCAAAGAAGTTAAGTAAATTTACCAAAATTAATTAACTAACAATTGGAAGAGCCAAGATTAGAAGCCTGTAAACTTTCTAATGTATTCTTCTTTTTGCTTTTTTTAAAAGTCTTAAACTGTTACTGTGTTTGCAGTATAGTTCTCAGTTCAAACACCAACTGGTTTAAAGTAACTAGCACATTGATGATTTTTCTAAATTTTTAAGTAACCAAACCAGAGCATGGGATGCAGAATCCGATTCTAATTTTAGTTCTAACATTAGGTAGCAGAATTTGATTTTTAAGAAACAGAATCTTTATAAGATTTTAGTTATAGTTACTCTCTTAAATGGAAGATCTCTTCTAGAGCTGAAAAAAAAAGTATATTAATTGAAGAAGTGTGAATTTCATCCTGATTTATTATTTCTCTCCTTAGCATACTACATTCCAGTTTAATTTTTAGGACTCATTCCATTTGCTACTAGGAAATCATAGTGGTGTCTTTTTGTTTTGTTTTGTTTTGTTTTTTTAATGATGACTTGGAGGAGTTAATTCAGCCAACATTGTTTACAATGTGCCAGTTGCTCTATTAGGTGTAGAGGATATACATATGAATTGGATAACCTACCCTTAAGGAATTTATGGTCTCCGATAGATTATGTGAATCTCTATTGATATACTGGCATAGAAGAAGCTGTATTTTCCTTTGTTTTTTGGAGGGGAAAGAAAGAGAGGAAAAATGATTAGGCTTGAAAATAGTTTGTGCAATAAAAATGTTGTGCAATATAAATGTTTTCTGTACAGCAGAAACATAGAGGCCATATAATGAAGTATGTGAATGCAGTATCAGAAGCCTGTGTCCTTTGTTTAAAAAACATACCAGTTAAAAATGTACATTCCCATATGCAAATAATTAT